CCTCTGGTGGAATCTCTTTCTTTCAGGGCTAGTCTGGAGTCATGTCTGTGTCCAGGCTGATGCTCTGCCCTGCTGGAGTTCTGGGGGGCCCGGGGGAGGTGGTCTGTGGAATCCCATGTGCCCTAACATGAGGACACTGGGGGCTGATGGATGGGGCTTGGCAGTGTAGGCTTATTTCACCTTATCAGGATTTCCCTGACAGCAATGCATTGCAGACAGGGCAGAGTCCACTCTGTGGCTGTGATAGGGCTGCTGTGTGCCACCCGTGACATTACCCCAGATGTCACAAAGGTCTCCCCTGTCCTGGGGGCTGTGTTCATGAAGCTGGGTAAGGCCTGGTGGGATGGGGATGGGCATGCCAGGGCTGGGGAAGGGCTCTGCTTGGAGGTACCCCAGATGTGGGAGAACCAGCTTTCCACCCATAGGGATCCACAGAGCCCTCCTGCCATGGAGGTGCTGCGTCCCCATCCCAGTGCACCTGGAGCTGCTCTGTACATGCATTATGCCCCCTCATGCCTGGCACCCTGGAGCTACCCTGTGCCTAGACTGTGTTGGCAGCCCCATGGGCCCCACAGGGAAGGATCCATGGGGCAGCACAGGACAGCCTTGGCTGACAAGTGTATGTCTGCATCAGAGACACAAAACCCAGTTTGGGTTTGTCTGGAAGATAACAGGGGATAAGTAGGAATGTCCAGTGCTCTGGCCTTCACCGCCCAAGCAGCCAGTGGGTTACAGGGCTGCCTTTGCAGCAGAGCTCCCCGCTGTGTAACCATGCAGCTACTGCCCTGCTGGCACAATGCCGTGTCTGGCTGGACAGTGAGGACATGGGGTTGAGCCCTGGGCTACTCACCCCAACAAGCAGCACTGTCAGCCTTGCACCCGGCTCCACTGACGTGGCTGAAGGCCATAGACAAGGCCAGCATGGGGCTAAGCTGCCAAGGACTCAGGGCTGAGCCTGCAGTGGGGGAGCACTGAGCTCGGGTGGAGATGCCAGCAGTCATGGTTCATGCAGCAAGGGTGGGGAGTGGGTCTCAGCCTGAGTCAGCAGGAGTGCAGAAATGGGCTGGTGAAGCAATTATTTTCTCCTCTTCTGCATGCCATGGTGCATTTGGCCAGCATGGGCATTGGAGTGATGCCTCTTATGCATCCTGCAGGCAGGGGCTGGATGACCAGACTGTGTGAGTGGCTGCCAGACCTAGGGCATCATCCATGTCTCAGTGCTGACAGACATACAGATGTCCCCATGTCCAGTCTTGCCCTTTGCCCCCACCCAGGCAGCAGGACTGGCTCCCCATTGTGTGTGTACCATGCATGCTGCTGACTGTGTCCTGCTCATGTCCCCTGGGGACAGGCAACCTTGGAGGGGATGCACAGCTCTGCCTTCTGGAAAAAGAATTGCTGCAGCACTGCTTTAAGCCTCTCTGCTTTCTACTGATCTAAGTTGGAACTTACAGCTTTGTGGAAAGAAGCAATAGAACATCCAGGGCATCCA